GCCACACCATGGATGACAGCAACGCACGTCGAACGTGTTCGAGCCTGTCAACACTAAACGATAAGCAAATGCTACTAAAACCCACAGCCCTGAGCTTCTAAATAGACCCGGTTTTGCTCAGCCACGGGGGGGGGATTGCAAAAGGGGGGCTTGTTTGGAGGGTTTTGAAGGGGGGGTTCTAGTTTGTGTAGGGCTTCAGGGTTTTGATGGGTGTTTAATGTGTTGTGCAGCATTCTTGGTTTAAGGGGGGGTTTTGATTTCATCTCGCTACGTGCCAGTAAGTCTAATCAATCCATCTTGTGCGTTACCATCATGGTCTAAAGTCCCTCAACCTAAACCCCTAAACCTTAAACCCCTACCCCCTAAACTCCAAACCCCAATACTCCAAGCTGCGAGTGTAGATTGCAGCCGCCGCCCAACAAGCCGTTGCAGGCGAGCCCGGCAAACTTCTGACAATTGGCACCGATTAGTCCTGAAGTCAGAATCAGTCCTTCCATGACGTGGACTTTACAGCCCCCAGACACCCAAACTCCAAAGCTTGCCGGGTCGAGGTTGCGCCAACAAATCGTTAGATTTCGAGCTGTACTTAAGCCAAACTCTGAACATTTAACCCTAAACCCTAAAACCTAAAACCCTACACAGCAAACAATACATGGAAGATCCTCCTCCTTTAAACCGTGAACCGAAGGAGGCCGCGGTTGCTTGGCTTCGCTTGGCACTGGATTTCCGGGAGATAGCGGCGCTGAAGGAGGCGGCGGCTTGGGTTTAGGGATTAGGGTGTTCGGCTTGCGATACCCAAATCCCCATGTAAGTAAAACGTAAGCTTCGTAAATTTGTCCGGCTTTACGCACAAAGCAGCTTTTATGGAAGTGTTGGCGATGAAACGGAGACTGTTTCGACATGCAAGGCGAAGGTTTGAGGTTTAGGGCGCTTGACTGGTTTGGGGTTCAGAGGCTTCTACTGAAAACCCTAAATTAGGGTTCCCATAGCCTTAAACCCAAAGCCCTAAATCCTTAGGCCGTGAACTTACATCGCAATATCGCAATCTTTTAGTATGCTAACACATATGGTAGCATACTACTTTTTTGCTGTAAAATATTCTGAGAGGATAACGTACTAGCACAAGAACAGAATGATGACTATAGGAACATAATCGTGTAATGATCATCACCATAAATAACAATAACAGTAATAATCATAGATAATAATCATAATAATCATAATAATAACAATACATTAACAACAATAGTGATAACAATACACTGACAACGAGAATAACGCAGTAATAACAATATAACCATATGACAATCCCATACCCTTAACCCTAAACCCTAA